AAATTATCTCTACAAAAGCTACAAAAAATTTAGCTGGGCATTGTGACATGCACCTGTAGTCCCAGCTACCTGGGAGGCTGAGGTGGGAGGATTGCTTGAGTCTGGGAAGTGGAGGATGCAGTGAGCCATGATCACACCATTGCACTCCAGCCTGGGCAACAGCGTGTCACTGTCTGAAAAATAAATAAATAAATCAAATAAGAAACATGCTCCCAACACTTTATTATTATTTTTTTGGAGGCAGAGTCTTGCTCTGTTACCCAGGCTGGAGTGCAGTGGTGTGTATATGGCTCACTACAACCTTCCCCTTTGGGTCTCAAGCAATCCTCTCACCTCAGCTTCCCAGGTAGCTGGGACTACAGGCATATGCCACCACACCCAGCTAATTTTTGTATTTTTTGTAGAAGGGGGTTTCCCCATGTTACCCAGGCTGGTCTGAAACTCCTGACCTCAAGCCATCTGTCCCCTTCAGCCTCCTAAAGTGCTGGGATTACAGGTGTGAACCATTATGCCCAGCTACCTAACAATTTTTTTTTTTTGGTGCCGTGACTCCCATCTCATTGCTCACTGATTATGAATTTTTTAAAATAGGAAATTTCAGAAGAGAAATAGGAACTGTAGATGCTCCTTGACTTACTGTGATTAAGTCCTGACAAACCAGTAGTAAGTAAAAAATGTGGTAATTTGAAATGCATTTAATATCCCAGTAAACCCAGATGCCCCTTGACTTAGGATGGAGTGATGTCCCAGTAAAGCCAGTGTAAAGTTGAAAAATCGTAAGTCAAACCATCATAAATCAAGGACTGTCTATATTAAAAAGAACCAAGTGTAAGTTCTAAAACTGAAAAATGGTATCGGAAGTAAAATCTTCACTGGATGATCTTAATAACATTGTAGATGACATATGAGTTGCAAACTTACAGATAAATAGAAATAATCCATCCTGAAAAACAAAGAGGAAAAACAGTTTTCAAAAAATGAAAAGGGCATCTCAGTGAGCTCTGGAACAATATATAGAGGTCTAACGAATGTGTATATGGCCTCTTAGGAGAGAAGGGAGAGAATGGGGAAGAAAAACTACTCAAAGAAATAATGACTGAAATTTCCAAAATTTGAAGATACACATAATTTGCAGATTCAAGGAGATCAGTGAATTCCAAGGAAGATAAATACAAAGAAAAACCATGTGTAGGGACATTTGTAGTCAAAGTACTGAAAAGTAAGAGTAACGAGTGAATTGTGAAAACAGTAAAATGGAACTAAGTGAAAAAAGAGGAGAATATTCACAAGTTCTACTGAATTATCATCAGAAATAATGGAAACCAGGAGACAATGGAACAGGACTTTTAAAGTGGTGAGAGAAAAAAACCAACCATTTAAACCAAGAACTCTGTATCTATATCCAGGGGAAATACCCCTCAAGAATGAAGATGAAATAAGGATGTTCTGAGATACATGAAAGCTAAGAGAATTCATCAAGAGACTTAAATGCTACAGGAAGTCTTTTGATCTGAAGGAAAAGAGGGAAACCTTGATCCTTTGGTAGAAATGAATAACAAAATATGTGGGTGCATATTAAGTGATATTTATTTTCTCTTTATGAGTTCTTTATAACACGTGACAGTTTAAGGTAAAATTATAAATAATATATTTCAGGGTTTATTACATGTAGGCATCATATGTATGACAACTATAGCATAAAGAATGGGGTTCAGGTGGAGTAATTTACATAATAAAAATGGTCTTAAATTTAGGTGAAGTGGTACAATGTAAACTATCATTAGAGAGTGAAAAGTTTAAAAATATATATATATAGGAATCTCCAGAGCCACCAGTAGAAAACAGTGCGAAGAGTTATTGTTGAAAAGGTATAATAAAAGGTAATGATGATACAAGGATCAATTAATCAGGACACATGGAATTCATATGTTTGCACTCAATAACAGAGCTTCAGAGCTTATAAAACAAAAGTTGGTAGAATAAAGAATTGGCATTTTCACAATTACAGTTGAATATTTTAACATTCCTGCCCCAGTCATTGATACTACTAGAAAAGGGATCAATAATAAGAAAAGAAAAAAAAAAAAAAAAAAAAAAAAAAAAAAAGGCCGGGCGCGGTGGCTCAAGCCTGTAATCCCAGCACTTTGGGAGGCCGAGGCGGGCTGATCACGAGGTCAAGAGATCGAGACCATACTGGCCAACACGGTGAAACCCCGTCTTTACTAAAAATACAAAAATTAGCTGGGCGTGGTGGCATGCGCCTGTAGTCCCAGCTACTTGGGAGGCTGAGGTGGAAGAATTGCTTGAACCCGGGAGGCGGAGGTTGCAGTGAGCCGAGATTGTGCCACTGCACTCCAGCCTGGCGACAGAGTAAGACTCTGTCTCAAAAAAAAAAAAAAAAAAAAAGAAAGAAAGAAAAGGGATCAATACAAACATAAGATCTCTTTATGACATTACCAATCATATTGGAAAGCAAACAGGGGAGCGAATTGGACCGATTTACCACAACGAACTTTCACTTTGCAAATGTACTCCCCTGACTCTCGTGGGCAAGCATTTTCATGGTGGAGGGTCAATCAGTGTGCCTGCCGCTTCTGGGCTTCCAACTTTTTCACCTTTCAGCGTGGTTGCCATGGTAACAACAGTACATTCCCACGTGATCCCGTGTCTTGCTCTCCCCACCCAATCATTTGCGCTGTATAGTGACACTGGCCTAGAAGTTTCTTTCGGAATTCCCTGTGGATTCTGGGAGAACCTGGGGTTTCTGGGAGCCCGGGTGGCTGTTGGCGCCAAGTGCCTCAGAGAGCCACACAGTTCCACGCTGCGGAGCTGAGGCGATCTCTTCAGACCCTTCAGAGAGACCCAGACATCTGACTTCCCACTGAGAGACCTGGAGTTGCCCAGAGTTTGAGAAAGTGAGTAGATTGTGGGGACTTTGCTAGGACCCAGGCCTGGGAGGTGTCACTGGAGTCTGGGGTGGAGGCACGGGAAGCTGCCCGGGCGGGGGTGGTGGGTGGTGATGAGTGGGATGTGGAGCCGGGGGCCAGCGGTCCTGCCTGGCCTGGTTTGGGCATAGTGTGCGGGAAGGTGAGGGAGCCCTGGAGCGCTGCGGGGGAGAGCTCTCTGGTGGTCTCCCAGCATGGGGTGGCAGGAATGGAGGGCGGCCGGGTCTGCCGGCGGGCGCCGTGCGCAGGTCCCGGGGCAGGCGGGTGAGGGCAGAGATGATTCCTAAGCCTGGTGGAGGGCCAAACGGAGCGGAGGGTGCCCTGCCACTGCAGGCTATGGCGGCTCCTGACTTGGGGGTGCGGGGCTGGAGTTTTGAGCTCCCCGCTGTGGGGAGGCCACAGAAAGGCTCGTGTCTAAGCATGTGGAACGCCCTGCTGCCCGGGTCTAGACTGGAATCCTGCCAGCTGTGCATAGGAGAGCCAGGTGGGGAAGGGCGCGTTGGGGGCAGGAGGGGACGGTCTCCGGTGCGCAGTGAGAGATGCTCTGGAAGGAGCGCCAATGCCTGAGGGTGCGAAGCCGGAAGCCACCTAGCGGCCACTGGTACAGGCGACTGTGAGCGCCCCCTGGAGGTTGTGGACGTGGCAGTGCCGTGAGGAGCCTGGCCCCCTACAGGTGGAATTGGAAAGGCTTCAGGTAGCCTCTTTCCTGTGGAATAGCGACAGGAGTTGCAATGGCTGGAGGGGGTGGACCTTGGCCTCTTTAGAAAATGCGGATTCACTACAAGGGCAAATTGTACATTCACTTAGACAGGCCTCATGTTGAGCCATTGAAAAATCTTCAGAAACTGAAAAGGATCGCATGTTTACATGATAAGTTCTCTGATCACAGTGGAATGCCATTTGAAATTAATAACAATAACATATGTCTAAATATTTGGAAATCCATGGCTCAAAAATGAAATCACACAGGAAACTTACATATACTTCAAACCGCACAAAACATACAACCTATCCAAATTCCTACACATTTGGAAGGAAGGAAGTGGTCAGAGGTCAATTTCTTGCTTTCAGTGCTCATAACAGAAAAAAAGAAAGCATAAAAGCAGTGGCCAAACAGGCCATTTAAAGAAGCTCGAAAAAGAAGAGAAAAGTAAACACAGACTGAGTCAAATAAAGAAGTAATAGAGATATGAAGGACAATCGGCAAACCCTGACATTGGGCTTTTTAAAGAGTACCAAAATTAATGAATCATAGCAAGACTAATTAAGATGAGAGAGAGCTGGGCACAATGGCTTATGCCTGTAATCCTGGCACTTTGGGAGGCTGATGTGGGGGAATTGCCTTCTCCCAGGAGTTCAAGACTGGCCTAGGCAACATAGTGAGACCCCTTCCTCTACAAAACATACAAAAAATTAGCCAGGTGTGTTAGCGTGTGCCTGTAGTCCAAGGTACCCAGGAGGCTAAGGTGGGAGGATCACTTGAGCTCAGGAGGTCGAGGCTGCACTGAGCTGAGATTGAGCTACTGCACTACAGCCTGAGCAACAGAGAGAGACCCTGTCTCAGCACACACACACACACACACACACACACACACACACACACGAGAGAATGAACACTAATCAATATCAGGAATGAAGGACAGGATATTGCTACATACCATGCAGACATTAAGAACATAACGAGGGAATGTTGTGAACAAGTTTTTGTCAAAACTTTTGAAAAGTTAGATAAATTTCCCAGTTCCTTTGTGGGGAAAAAACTAACTTACTACAAATGGCACCAGGTAACATAGAAAATGTGACTAGCCCTGTATCTTGCAAATAAATTTAGTTTGCCATGAAAATTTCACTAAAATCAAAGAGTTAAAATGAGGAGGCAGAGGAGCTCCAGCCCTGTCCCCCTCCCACATGTAGGGGCAGATGAGTGGTGGGAGTGAGTGGCACAAATAAGCTTTTCTCTTTGCATGCACAGGCTGCATCAGAGGCTGCAACAGTCATCGCGCATTCCTGTCTGATCAAGCTCCCTCCCTCAAGTCCTCTGCGATGGCTCGGGCAATGCTTCAGAACTGGTGCAGGTGGATGGGTGCGAACGCAGAGCGCTCCCTGCTCATCCTGGATATCCCTGACGACTGCGAGGAACATGAGTTCCAGGAGGCCGTGCGGGCTGCCCTGTCACCCCTGGGCAGGTACCGAGTGCTCACCAAGCACTTCAGAAAGGAGCTCGGGGCCAAGGTAGCCTTTGTGGAGTTTGCTGAGTATTTAAACCGAAGCTTGATTCCCTGTAAAATACCAGGCAAAGGGGGGCCCTGGAGAGTGATCTCCCTGCCCCAGGTACCTGATGTTGAGTTTCAGAATATGCCCAGTTTTCCTGCACAGTCCCAGGGGCAAGCAGTGGCCAGAGGTGCAGGTGAGGCAGGAGGCCCAGGTGAAGCAGGAGGCCCAGGTGAGGCAGGAGGTGCAGGTGAGGCAGGAGGCCCAGGTGAGGCAGGAGAGGCAGGTGAGGCAGGAGGCCCAGGTGAGGCAGGAGGCCCAGGTGAGGCAGGAGGCACAGGTGAGGCAGGAGGCCCAGGTGAGGCAGGAGGCCCAGGTAAGGCAGGAGGCGCAGGTGAGGCAGGAGGCCCAGGTGAGGCAGGAGAGCCAGGTGAGGCAGGAGGCGCAGGTGAGGCAGGAGGCCCAGGTGAGGCAGGAGAGCCAGGTGAGGCAGGAGGTGCAGGTGAGGCAGGAGGCCCAGGTGAGGCAGGAGAGGCAGGTGAGGCAGGAGGCCCAGGTGAGGCAGGAGAGGCAGGTGAGGCAGGAGGCCCAGGTGAGGCAGGAGGCGCAGGTGAGGCAGGAGACCCAGGTGAGGCAGGAGGCACAGGTGAGGCAGGAGGAGCAGGTGAGGCAAGAGCTGAAGATGAATTGAGAGTTGCAGAAGAGGCAAGAGAGTCATATGAAGGAGCCACAGGTGACACAGGAGCTGCGGGTGAGGCAGGAGGGACAAATACAGCAAGAGCCTGGGTCCAGCCCTGGGGCTGCCCCCTGCAGGCTGTGCAGGAAAACAGGGCCTCCCGGGAACTGAGACCCTTTTCTGGGAGGGAGCAGCCAGGCTGTGTGGAAGAGTCCCTTGAGAGCTGGCTGGAGCACGCCAAAGACATGCTGCAGCTGTGGTACCACGAGTCGGAAAGGGACAGGAGGAGGTGGCTGCTGCAGAGCTTGGGTGGCCCGGCCCTGGATGTCGTGAGCGGCCTCCTGGGGGAAGATCCCAACTTGTCTGCGGGGGACTGCCTGGCGGCGCTGGGGCAGGTGTTTAGGAACAGGGACACTCGAATAACTTCTTGGCTGAAGTTCCTGACCTGCACGCAGGGGCCCCAGGAGGGGCTGTTTGCTTTCGTGGTGCGCCTGGAAGGCCTGCTGCAGAGGGCAGTGGAGAAGGGGGCCGTCCACCCAGCCATGGCCAACCGCTTTCGACTGTGGCAGGTGCTGTCTCAGACCCGCCCCAGTGAGGCTCCCCAGGATACCCTGAGGGGGATGCAGCTGGATAGGAGGCCGCCCGGCTTCCTTCGGCTGCTTCGGCTCATCAGGGAGATGGAGGTGTGGGCGGCCTCCCCAGCGAGGAGCCAGCACGGTGCAGCCTGGCCAGATGCCCCAGCGGAGAGTGAAGAACCATCTGCCGCCCAGATGGCCCCTGCCCGAGGAGATGTCGCCCAGGCTTCCCCAGCCCAAGGGGATACCAGCGAAGCTGATCCCAGCGGGGAAGATGCTGCCAAGGCCACTTCTGTCACCAAAGTGGCCGCCAGGGGTGCCCCTGCCACTGGGGAAGATGAAAATGCTCCTACTGGCCTGGAAGGCTTAGGTGGGGTGGGGCCCATAGAGGTCCCCTGGGGCTCCTTCCCAGCCTGGGTGGGCAGTGCTGTCTGGGTGTTCCCAAGAGGTCCTAGCTGGTGTCCAGAGGGCCTCATCCAGGTGAGAGGCCAGGAAGCCAGGAATCCCCCATTGGAGGGGCTCCAGACCATCTTGGAGGAGTCTGAAAACGAGGATGAGGATGGGGCTGGGGGGGCGGGCCAGCCCAAATCCTCCCCGGGCAAATAAGCTCCGAGGGCCCCGGGGCCTCCTCTCCTTTCAGGCAGGGGCACCCTGGAAGCAGATGGAGGCCAGGCCAGGGCCAGTCCCTCACCCCACATCAGGAGTAGGGGTTCCCACCTTCCCCAAGAGGCCCTGGCCACCACCCCCAGCCCTTCCCCATGATCCAGATGACCACATATGATTCCAAATGGGGTTGGGAGAGGCACCCCTCCCTCCCTCCCTCCCTTGCACTCAGCAAACCCAGCACCAGCCCCAAACCCTGTCATCACAGGGGGCCTGCCTAGAGGGAGCCCTGAGAGGCCAGCCATGGCCTGGGTGGGGGCACCTGAAGATGTCTGCACCCCACCCTGACCCTAGGTTGGGAAAGAAGGAGAAAGAGGCCCTCTCAAGGGTGCCAGCTGCCTGGGTCTCCCAAGAGGGGTCCCCCCATTTGCCATCCCCTGGGCAGGCTGCTCCCTGTTCCAGGAAGCTCACCCTCACCTATGTAGGCCCTGTAGTGACCCATGTGCCCAGCAGACACCCACTCACTGCTGGACATCGTTCCTGTGCAAAGTCGTACGCTGTGCGCTCACCTGGGCAGCCGCCTCTGGACCTGAGACACGTGCTATGTGTTTCCTGTGAGCCCACGCTCTGCTCGCTGCTGTCTGTCCCTTGTTGTAAGCACCACCTCTGCTTTCCTAGTGTAGACCTAGGCCAGGGGCTGCTTGTTCTGGTGGAGCTGTGTGTATTCTTCTCTGAGCAGCTCCTCCCTGGAGATCCCCAGCACAGTCCCGGGAGATGGCGGAAAGGAGGTACCAGGACACGGTGCCAGTGACTGTGATGGTGACAGTGACTGTGGAAGAAGAACCAGACCCAGGGCAGAGAGGGCTGTGTGAGGCTCCCCAGGGACTGTGCTTTGGTGTTCCACCCCTGTTGTTACTCGTGACTCAGTTTCCTCAGCCTGGTGGGGTGTTCCCTGCTGTTTTCCAGTGTTTTGTGACTGTCCTGTGAGGGCCATAGGGTAGGGATGGGCTTGGGAGGGGGCTCCCTGAAGCCAGTGGACACTGCCAGAGTCCACTGTCCTGGCAAGAGGTGGACCTGGGGCCCTTGGGAAGGAGGGAAGTGGCCGCGGGGGGCCGCAGTGCGAGGGGAGGCAGACTACGAGCCTTGCCAGGAACCCCAGGAGGGGGGTGCCTGGGACCTGTGGCCTGTGGTGGCTGTTTGCATACTCTCTCTGTGTTGTGGTTCCCTTCTCTTCAATGGTTTCAGTACATGTTTCTCTTCAATAAATTTCATTCCGTGTTCCAGCTGGTCTCGCCTCTGCTGTGGAAAACTGGGGGAGGGGGAATGGCTGGGGATGGGGTGGGCATGGAGGAGAGGAAAAATATCCCTACCCAGCGCCCCTGGGGAACATCTCCAATGAGAGTGTAAGTAAGCGCTGTGGCCAGCAGGCTAGGACATGACAAGGGCTTTTCTTATATTTTGTCTGTGAATTGTCAAGTGTCAGGGTTTCATTAGTCCTTACATTTGTGTTGTCCTATTCCCTGCAGCTTTTGAAAATGTGTGGGGATGATGCTGCTTGTTGACTCCTCTCTGGGGAAGGTGCCACTGGCATTCCGTCCCCAGGGTTCAGGACTTCCGAACGTGGGTCACGTGTTTCTGAGGCCATGCAAGAAAGATGAGTCCTGCCCACAAGGTCAATAGCGCCCACAGTGAGAAAGCCAGTATGAGAGTTACAGGGGTTTCCTAAAACCCCCACATGTTTGAAGACGAGATATCCTAAAACTTGAAAAGTCCACCATGGAACAATAATGAGCAACTTCAAATCTCCAGAGCAGGTGTCCCCAAACTACGGCCCCCTGAGGCCATTTATCCGGCCCCCCATCACACTTCAGGAAGGGGCACCTATTTCATTGGTGGTCAGTGAGAGGAGCACAGTATGTGGCGGCCCTCCAACGGTCTGAGGGACAGTGAACTGGCCCCCTGTGTAAAAAGTTTAGGGACGCCTGCGCTAGAGCCTAGTGGGGCTTCTGGGAGGATGGGTGCAAACATTCATCCACCCTCCACCTGAGATGGGAGATGCGCTCTCCAGGAATTGGAGCGGCCGGGGAGGTGCGGAATCAAGGGGGACCTGCAGGAGCCCGGGTGCTCTCCGAAGTGGTGACACTCAGGCCGAGAGCTAGAGGATGTGAGTAGACAAAGACAGGCAGTCTGTCCAAAGGAAAACTTTAGACAAAGTACATTTAACAAAGTTGATTTGAGCATGAAAGGGTTCATGGATCAGGCAACATTCAAGACGGGGAGAGGTTCAGAGAGCTATGTGTAGCCATGTGAAGAGCAGGAGAACGGATGTGGAGGCAGAGAAAGGGCCTCCTGGGTCTGCTGCGGTGAGGCGTTTGCCTCCTTTGGGGGTGGTGCCGTGGGAGGTCCCTAGCTAGAGGTTCCGTGGCAGTTTCTCTTGGGCCAAACTTGTGTTTTGCTTTACTGTTTACATTGGCTTCAGTTTGCTTGTGTAGGAATCCAGGGCACGGGAGCTGTCTCAGCCTAATGGTCTAATTATATATTTTTGTAACAAGACCAAGGGCGTGACATATACCCTGGCCCCCCAGAAGGGCTGGAGCTTGGCAATTTTGTGCTGAAAACTGGGGAAATAGGGTGCAGGGGAAGAGACTATTTGGGGCCCTGTGGGGATGGGGAGGAGTCAGGTTTACTTCTCAGGGTAGTAGGATGCTGTTGGCCGATTGAGGCCTCCCATGAGCAGCAGGAAATGCCAAGTCGGTGCTCTCCCAGCCTCTGCAGCGAGGGCTTGCATGCGTGACCTAGGCTCCACCAATCAGATGCGCCCACTGCCCACTGAGTCTGAGGCCCCAGGTGGGAAGAAGCAGGGCCCTGCAGATTCAGTTCAGGCTGGGCTGCTGGCAGGAGGGGCTGTGTCACCCATTTCCTGAGGATCAGTGGTGGCTGCATTAGGCCACTCTTGCATAGCCATAAGGAAATACCTGAGACTGGGTAATTTATGAAGAAGAGAGGTTTAAACGTGGGCTGTACAGGAAGCATGGTACAAGCATCTGCTTCTGGGGAGGTCTTGGGAAGCTTTTACTCACGGTAGAAGGGGGAGAGGGAACAGACACTTCACATGGTGAAAGCAGGAGGGAGCGAGTCAGCGATCAACAGACAGAGAGAGAGAGAGCGCTGGGGAGGAGATGCCGCATATTTTAACTGACCAGATCTTGTGTGAATTGAGAGAGAGAGAGCTCAGTCATCACCAAGGGGATGGCCCAAGTCATTCATGAGGGATCCGCCCCCATAACCCAAATACCTCCCACCAGGCCCCACTTCCGACATCAGGGATTCCAATTCCACAAGCGATTTGGGAGGGGAAAGATATCCAAACTATATGATCGTGGTTCTAGTGGCAGCACCCTGAGTCCCACAGTTGTGGGTGAGAGCCGCAGGGAGCCCTCATCTGCCCAGCACTCACGGAGTTTGGAACCTGGTTCCTCTCTGCGAAGCGTCCTAGCCTGGTTCTCCAGCCCTCCCCAGACCAATCTTGGGATAGTGCCCTAGGTCTGGCAATTCTTCTGGTCCCAGTATTGTTAGCTTCCCAGAATGCAGCGGCCCTTCCTCTTAGTTCTCTTAGGGATTTTGGGAGAATCCCTCACGAATTCCAGTTTTGGTGGAAAGTAATGTGCTGTCGCGCCATTGAAGGCACAGTGCTCAGCTCTTTTCTTCCTGCCAGGGCCCAGCCAGGTGGTGGGCCTGTGACTTGGGCTTGGCTAATCAAATGCCTTGTCCTGAGTCTCTGAGTCTGAACCAGAGGTCCCAGGCAGGAGTGGCTAGAGGCCCGGACCCAGGTGGTGGCGGTAGCATGCTGGCTGGCCTGTCCCTGCTCCTGGCCTTTGCTCTGGTTTTGGAAGCCCGGGGGAATTCCAGCTTTCCAAACCCAGTCCCTGGTCTCCAGCCCTTTCCCGTGAGCCCTCAGGAGCCAGACAAGTAGTCCCCACTGTGCCCGATAACCACAGGCTGTCCCAGTGCTAGCTGCTCACTGGCACGTGCTGCCGTGTGGTTGTTTTGAGGCAGCTGCCCTCCCTCAACTCTGCTAAATCCTCAGCACAAGCTCCAAGTGTCTCCTAGGTGAGAGCAGCTGGAGGCCAGGGCTGTGTCTTGCTCATCCCTGCGTTGGGCACAGCCAGATGGGTGGGGGGACAGCGGTTCCACGGGGAGTTTGTGAAGGTGACTCTACCAGCTCAGGCCGACTCTATCTGAGCACAATCACCCTGACATTTGCAGCCCCTCCTGGGCAGTCTCAGGTGACCAAGCCCCAACCCTCTTCCAGTGAAGAAGCTCCTTATACATCCCAACTGGGGCCATCATGCTCCACGAGCCCCAGAGTGGTCAGCCAGTGACTAAGTCCAGGGGATGGCAGGTGTGTTGCGACACTGCCAATGGTGAGTTCTCCACCTGTGCCCAAGTTCGCCCTTTCAGGGGAAAGAAAGAGCAACTCAACACCTCTGGCTCCCTCCCGCTTTCCTCTGCCACTGTCCTGGAAGAGCCACAGACACCCCATGGCCACCATGGGCTGCAGAGCTGCCAATCCAAAAGCCTGCTCATCTGTGACCTGGGGGCAGGGTGCCAGCGCAGAGGCCCGTGGGGCAGGCAGGTCTGGGGGAAGCTCTCGGAGCTGAAGGTGAGAGCCTTGGGGAGCCCCCAGTCCAGTGTGATCCCCGCTGGAGAAACCTTCCCAGCCCCAGTTATAGTTGGTCTCTTCCTGTAGACACTGCTGGCAGCTAGGTGGCACCTGGCCATGGGGAGGGGGACTCCTGGCACAGCTTCAGTGTCCCTGCCCTGAGCTTCTGGGACACGAGTAAAACACCAGAAGCTTTGAGGGACAAAGTAAGAGCTTCTCCACAGGCCTCGACGGTACCATTCACATTTCCTTCTCAGTTTCCATGCTGTGCCCTCCGTCTGGATTGAGGTCCAAATCCATGTTGGCCTGGCCCCTTCCTGCGCCCACCGGCAACCTCTGC